TCATCTTCATCTTCATCTTCATCTTCATCTTCATCTTCATCTTCATCGTCATCCCCAACTGCATCTTCATCTTCATCCCCAACTTCATCTTCATCATCATCTTTATCCTTGTCTTTTTATGTATCTTTAACTTTGTCTTGTTCTTCATCTTTATCATTGGCTCGATCCTTCAATATAGGTTGTGAGTGTATGTGGTTTTGTCGTTGCCCTTGTCTTTGTTTCTGCCCTTGCTGTATCTTCCTCTCTATATTTTCATTACCCACTCCACAGTGGCGTTAAAAGTTCAATGCAGCCGCCCCTTGTCTACTCACGCATGCGCATACGCATACGCAAAAATTAAGCAGCATATTGACATAATTTTCAATGCGATATCTGTAAAAAATAGCAACAAACTTTACAGTGGACTTTATTTTGATTATGACTACGGGCCAATCACTTTAATCCCATTTTTAGCTAATTTAAAAAAGTTAAATTAAATCAAGTTAGGGAACTTCCTATTCTTCTTAAACGGAATCGCTATATCTATAAATTATTTTATACTTTTTAGTTCTTGTTGTATAGAAGGGTGTTTTTAGTTTTTTAACTATAATTTTATTTTCTACTTTTTAGTTTTTTGAAATCTTGCAATTAATATTATACTGTCTGTATATTTCTCATTCTGTCCATTTCTTTCAATGCGAAGAAAATTTTCGGCACCCTGCTTTTTAGCTACACTTTTCAACTAACGTTCTAGATTTGACCTTAACAAACAAAATTTTCAATGTATTTCAATTAAATAGGTAATACACATATTCTGAATATAAACCAAATCGGAGCACAGATGCCGATTTTTTAATTATATAGACTCGCGCGCCACATAGCTGCCAAAATTTTTTGTGTAGTTATTTCTTTTCATGTAAGCAATATGCATTCGAAATGTGAACTTAATCGCATCATAAATACGGTTTTTCCAAATATCTCGACTCCTGCGCCACCTATCAGCAAAATTTTTTGTGGATGTATTTCTTTTCACGCAAATAATATATGTTCTAAATATGAACCAGATCGGACTATAAATGTGGGTTTTACAAATATCTCGACTCCTTCGCCACCTAGCGGCAATTTTTTTTTTGGATTTATTTCTTTTCATATAGTAATATATGTTCCAAATATGAACCAGATCAGACTATAAATGCGGGTTTTACAAATATCTCGACTCCTGCGCCACGTAGCGGATTAAGTCATCTTTTATATTGCATTCTCCTCAAGTACTGAGCTAAGATTGAAGTTTCAAGGCTGTAGCTCATCGGGAAGTTTGTTAAATATTGACTGCAAAGTTCCAGGACATACAAAGATACATACATACATACAAGTGAAGTTAAATAAAAGCTTGTAAAAAAGTACAAATTCTGTCTCTCTAAAACCTTAAATTTGTTTAAAAAAATGGGCTTAAACATATTTCATATGTTTTTAAAGTAAAAAATGAAATAATTTAATAATTTTCTTAATATTAATAAAAATAATTCGTATTGAAAATAACACATATTTTATAATCTTTTTGAAAGGGGTAATTTTAAAAAAGTAAAAAAAAAAACCATTTAAAAGCGAACGCACTCAAACATCCATAAATTATCTTAAAGGTATTCGTATTTACTTTCACACTTAAAAGGAATTAGTTGTTTATCTTCTCTATTGTGACCTGTACTTAAAAATGAAATCGACTTTTTTGTATCACATTGGGCCTTATGAATAAAAACTAAGCAATGTTTTTTTCTTAAAATTTCAGATCCTTTACGTAAAGTTATTCGAATAAATCAAGCAAAAGGGTTGACATCTTAAGAAAAAGCAACTGCTTAGTTTTTATTCATAAGGCGCAATCACTGAAATCTTCTTCTAAATTGTTCTCACTATCGGTTCCATTCAACGATATTTCTTCCAACCATTTTATAACTTGTTCTTCATAGGAACCCCTCTCGAAAAGTTAAAAAAAAATTAAGTTCAAAACAGAAAATAGCCAACAAACATGTTAAAAACTGAAATAAGCACAGCAAACAAAATTACCTTTACTACTAACGTTCGCCTGTCAGGCGGCAAGAGGGCGTGGAACTCAGCCGCGCAAGGCCACTGTACAATGTGCGTTCGTACAGCGCTAAGCTGAGTTGGCGCGAACGTTTACTTTGATCATTAAGCGTTCCTGAAATATCGCGCGGAAACCGAATTCGTTCCGCCTCACAGGCGAACGTTAGTATTCTAGGGTTAATGGCTAGTCAGTGAGAACGTACATATGTATTGTGTCATTGACTTAATAAAGAAATACAAATACAAATTTGATTTTTATAAGTAAAAATTAAAAAACAATAATCAGTGCTGCTGAAGGTATTCCGAGTAATAAGAAATATATTGGTTTACTCCTTATGCACGTAGCATTTCTCTTTCAGTGTGATTTTTTGAGTTGAAATTTCAAAGATAATCGTTATTTGTGGTCCCTGATTCATGCATGCTAGTAAAATTCCAATAAGATTTTCTCTATCTTATCATTATATACTGGGAACTGTAGGACTCGGTAACTTATAGCCTATTTCCACCAAGAGCTTAACTGCAGTTAATAGCTCAGGTAAATTCAAGGAACGTTAACAAGGGCTGAACAGCAAATTTTATTTCTTAGTTCTTGCTTTCCTGTTTTCGATTGCTTGTACTTAAAATGAGCAATTAACTCCTTCGAGTTGTAATCTTCTTTTTCCAATAAGCAGTAACTGCAGTTAAGGCTTGGTGGAAATGAACTCTTAGTCTGGAATCAGGTGCACTAAAGTCCTCAGCTCTGGAGCGCCTTAATTTTTTTTGTACTTGACACTCGCCAGGGGATTTTTCGGCTATCACTGCAACTTGTGCGAATTCGGCAGCCGGAGGGGCAGAAGTTTTCAGTTTAAAATAAACAGCTCGTTATTTTTTACAGAATGCATTCGGATCGTAGCACTTTTTATTATAGTAATAATTTTTTTCTTCTGGTGATTCACCGACATTGAAAATACAGTTTTTCTCCTAAATATGTAAATTAATTTTATCTCAAAATATGGGTCAGTAACACCGCAATCACGTTGAAACTCTAAATCATATTAAACATGCAAAATTTTGAAAGATGCAATTTGAGCCCTATTATGACTACCCTTTTGAAAGCTCGAAAATAAAACAAATAATATATATGCTAGTATATGTAGTACTTATAGGGATTATGTTAGCGAATTCATACAAGGTGGTGTTACTAGATCATCTAGATGGAGTGCTCATGAGCAAAAAACCTATCATTATTCAGATCGATTGAAATTTTTTGTGAGCTTAGCTTGTTAATATATAATCGAGATCCGGAGGGCTGGCTGCTGAACAGCGGTCTTAATTATGCATTTTTATCGATTAAATATGTCAATAAAAACCGATTACTCAACGAACTTCAGATGACTTGAAATTTGGATAGAGTTTTATATAAAGTATATAGAAAATGGATTCAAGGCTGCCTGCAATTTCTTATGGTCTTAAAATACATTGTTGTTTTTTTGACAGCACATTAGTAATATTATAAATACATGAGATGTCTTCGGACAGCCTATTCTGATGGTCACATCATATGAAAAATGTCAAAAACGTAATTCCCGTTCATATGCCATGGCGTATAAGTTATCTATAAGCAATATTTTGTCTGGTTACGCACCCCCAAAACCCCTATCTGCGTTCGCCCCTGATGTAAATACCTACATATGAATGTTGTGAAAAACGCATTAATTTTTTAATGCATTAATGGTACTTAAGCAATAAAGTAAATGTAAAAATTATTGCATTAATTTTTGAAATGCTATGCAAATAAATTCTGAAAAATATAATGCTGATGAAAGTTGATTTCATTAAATTATCCAAACTAATGCTAATGAAAAAATTTGTATGAATTAAAATTTTTTATACTTTTTGTTTTGTTTGTTTGAATTATTAAAAACCATTACATTTTTTTCTAGTCAAATATAAATAACCTTTTTTGGAAGGACTTCGAATAATTACTAATAGTTTTTTTCAGCTTCACTCTATTATCTTTATTTGCAGCAAATATCTTGTAAACATTGTTAAATGTTATGAAAATAATAAAAGCAATGTGCGCGGAACTAACTCAGTGCCACAGATAGCCAGTTAAGCGGCCCTTGTACGACTGATTCTGATCTAAATCAATCAATAAACGTTTTTAGGTCCATTTGACAATGTGTTTTTACCTAATTGACGACATACCAGCCTTATGTTCCGCCACTATATTTTTTACCCTCAATGTCAAAAGAGAATTTCAAATTTAAAATAAAATTAGTTAATGGGTTCTTAATGCTTGATATACATTTGATGGAATAAATTATTGTAATAGCATTCATTTCAAAATTTTAATGTTAATGCAAAAAAACTCATTAGCATTATTTCTTCGGAATTGAATTGTATTGAAATTTTCATTAACATGAAATTTCAAAAATGAATGCATTAATCTTTTAGATTAACATTAAATGCTATGCATTAAAAAAATTGATAATAATTTTCAAAACTCTGATATGTATTTATGCCTATACGTAAAAAAGTATAAATTTAATAAGTAAATAATTACAAAATCGGCACTTTATTTTAATAAATATTAATACGACTTGATTTTAACTGATATTAATTTATCTTCGAATATTTATTTAGCCTCCTCGCCCTGTAGAACCATGGGACGACGTTATGGATGCCTCGGCTGATAAAATCGGTTGCCCATCAGTTGTCTCTATTGAATCTTTAAAGAAGTTGGACGATGTGATGGACATCGAAGACTGCCTCACATTGACTATAACCACGCCTGATGTCACAGGTCGATATCCAGTTCTTGTGTACATACATGGCGAATATTTGTTTGAGGGCAGCAATGCTGAGGCACCGCCTGATTATTTGCTAGAAAAAGATATTATATTAGTGGCGCCACAGTACCGACTAGGTCCATTCGGTTTTCTATCAACAAAAACTGAAGACATACCTGGCAACGCGGGAGTATTGGACGTGTATCTGGCATTACAATTTGTTAAACATTTCATCAAATATTTTGGAGGTGATGAGAATCGGGTGACACTAGCGGGTCAAGTAGGTGGTGCAGCAATCACGCATTTGCTTGCCATTTCACCAATGGTGCGTAGCTCCTTCCCAATGTTCTAAAATTCTTATTAAGATTAATCAATATTTTTGCAGGTCCAGCATGGGCTTTTCCAACAGGCTATATACCATTCAGGGTCGGCTCTTATGCCCATTTTCCTAGAAGAAAATCCGCGAAAACTTGCTCAGGATATCGCTGAAAAGGCCGAATGCAAAATGAAAACAGTGCGGGATTTAAACGAGTGTTTAATGGATTTGTCAGCACTGGAACTACTGAGTGCCTTTATGACCCATGCTGTGAGTACCACAAAGAAATATGCTCTTCATATTTACCTACAGTTATTGTATGAATATTAACAATTATGGGTTTAAAGATTGAAAAATCCGATTTGGGTGTGGGGCACACCGGTGGCATTCAGTTTACGATTGGCGGACCCAGCGGCGTGTTGCCTGAGCACCCATATAATTTAATGCTCAAATCGAACTTTTCTTACCCCTCAATGGGTGGGTGCCCAAAGAATGTTGGTTCACGACTTTTGAATGGTGAGTAATTAGAGTATTTTCATCTTCGCTTTATCATATTGAATGTTCTAGAAATTGTTGAAAATGACTTCGAAAGCATCATACCAGACGATAGTTACGGATCGTACGATTATATAGATCATGTTATTCGTCAAGTTGTGGGCACGGATAAAACAATGATGTTGACTAGTTTCATCACTCACGACTTTTTTAATAGGAAGTTGATGGAAAATGGCACTTTCAGCACTTTGATACCACGTTTAATCGATGTAAGTCATAGATCAGGAAAAAATTTGGTCCCAATATAATAGTTTACTTTCTTTTCTTTAAAGGTCGGTGGTACTTTGATGCATAAACTTCCCGTGCTACTGGCACTAAATATGAATAACAAGCACGTTCCAGACAACACATTTCTCTATTCATTTGAATACATGGGCGAGTTCAATCGGTATCGTGACTTGGACGAAGAGACTAACATGCAGAGTCCTTTTAAAGCAGGCATCTCATTAACAGATGAAGCACTATATCTCTTCCCTTACCCACAACATGTCACCAACTTAAGCTCGCCCGATGTGTCGATGGCGAAGCGTATGGTGGACTTATGGTCTTCATTTGTGATTAACGGTAATCCTCTAAGCGACCTGCGAGCGGGATATTGGCCGCCTATGACCACATTGTATGGTCCTTACATGAAAATAAGCGAAACGTTAACGGTGAGCGGTAATTTCTTCAATGAGTTCTCAGCAACGCTCGTAGACGAAGAAAATGGTCACAGCTTAGTCCGTGAAAGTTACTACCTGCGGAGGAACCGTGCTAAGAGACGACGCACAGTTAAGCGTAATAGTCACAACAAACTTAATCGAAATACTTTCCCGGAAATACGTCATACTTTGCCAAAAAATGTGTTTAATTCGTGATATTGATTTAGTTAAATACTAAGCTTAATTTTAAATTCTTAAATCTTTTTTGCGGACCATATATGTTTGTTTACGTACTTATGTCAGTATGCATGTACTAGGAATGTCAATCCCGGGAGCCCGGACTTTTTAAGGTCTCGAAAATCACGGGATTCTTGGCAAGTAATCCCGGGATTTTCGGGATTTGTAATTTGCACTGATGGCAATAATAGAAACTCCTTTTCTTGACCAGTATTGGCTATATTTCTTTTTTATTTAATAATTAATATTTTTTAAAAATGTCTAGCTCATTGTACATATAACACCGCGCGAATGTAAATTTTAAACATAAATATCAATATATTCGCGAAACCACGGGCCAAATATAGTAAAATTGCGTTTTTAGTTTTTCACTCTCAGTAATTCAAAAATGATTTAAAAAATTCGAGGAAATGTGTTTAGAGAAGTATGGATATAAAATTAATGAGGAAATCCTGTAGAATTTAACCATATTCAAGTTTCTGGCGCAGAATGGCTGATAAATATTTAAAATGTCATTTTAAAATTTTATCCTTGAAATTTGAATTCTTGAAATTGTTGATTCTTTTGCTTTTATTTCGCTTTGCTTTTTGTTTTCGCTCAATTTAATTTTTATAATTTTTCTAAACAAAAGAAAAAACGTTTGAAATTAAGTGAGCCATGCAAATTTTGAATTTATTTACAAGCAAATGTTTTTTTCCGGCTTTTGCAAATTGAACAAGTTCTCTGTAAGACGGTTTGTTGAAAAAAATACGTGAACATATATGGTATATGGGGTAAGGAAAAAGGGATATTTCCAGCAGTAAACGTTTTAGTGTGGGCAACAATGATATTTTTTAAATAAGGCAGATCGGAATATGCGCTCTCTGGGAAGACAATAACTGTAATTACACTGTGGAACAAATTCAGGTTAGCAAAAGTTAGGTCGATTATGAGAGTGAGGGGTGAAAATAGAGGCTAAATTAGAAGACCCGTATCGCGGCGTTTGTTTATGTTAGTTCGAATTTTTTTTTAATCGACCTTCGAACTTTGCAGTCAAATGCAATAAATTTTTTCCCCTTCTTCCTCTTTTTCCTCTTTTTTGTTTCCAACCACCGCACAGGCAGCGATTTTTATTTATTTCGTACAAGCGAACTAATATCAAAAATAAAGATTCAGTTAAGACTCGAAACTCAGCCGAAGCTGATGTCTTTTAATTTTCGCTCGGTCGTGATAAAATTCGCTATTAATTTTTTTGGAACTTATTTCATTTTGTGAGTGATTTAAGTTAAGTGCATCGGTTTCATAAAAATAACAAAAACAACATTGTATAATATATATTGTATTAAAAATGTCGGACCCAAATTTAAAATGGACAATTTTTGTAATGTTTGTGGACGTTTCATAGCAAGCGATGAAAAATGTGGCAATGCGAGTGATTGTTTTTTGGAAGCCTATAAACAATATTTCTCGCAAGAGTTTATCACTGACGTAAACTATGCCCCTAAAAAAGTTTGCTGTAATTGCTATTCAAGTGTTATGCAATGGAAAAGTGAAAAGAAGAAGGCTATGCCTTTTGGTATACCAATGATGTGGTTAGACAACAGCCCGAATCAACAAGAAAATTGCTATGGATGTATCAACTACCATAAAACTTTGAATAGAAGGAAAGCAAAGAATAAAACTTATTTAGCAGTGCCAAGTGGAGTGCAATGGGGTATAGTCGTTGCGCTGGGTATGCAGTTACAGTTGCATGGCTATACTCAATCCCGACTCTTGCGTCCTCGTTCGCGCAGTCTGGGCAACGTGAGCAACCCATGTGCGAGATGCGGTAACCAATCCGATTGGAGTCTTGGGTCACGGCAGAAAGAGAGGGAGCTTCGGTGGGGCCACTCTGACTTATTCGGTTTAAGGGCTCACTGAAGTCTGCAGCGTCTGTTCACCAGTAGGTGCGGCTGCAAGCGGGTGTCTGCTTGGAGCAAGCGGCTCGCTATATAAACGTGTATTTGGTTGCGAAACCACCCCCGTCCCAGCAATGGGTTGTGCGCTGGGCTTGGGACCCGCCACGTAAAAACCACTTCCAGTGAAGAAGCAAGGCAAAGCCTCGGATGAGACCCCCCCTTATGATGACGACCACGGCAAACGTTTAAAGGACTACGATTTGAGGGCATGCACCTGGAATGTCCGGACCCTTAATGGGGAAGGTGCCTCTACCCGGCTGGTTGATGTCCTCGTAAGGACAAAAGCTGACATCACCGCCATCCAAGAAATGCGTTGGACTGGGCAAGGCAAACAATGTCTGGAGCCTTGCGACGTCTACTGCAGCTGCCATGTAAAGGAGCGCAAATTCGGTGTTGGATTTGTGGTGGGAGAGAGACTCCGTCGCCGAGTACTGTCGTTCACCCCGGTGGACGAGCGTCTAGCCACAATCCGCATTCAAGCGAGATTCTTCAACATCTCGCTCATCTGCGCCCATGCCCCGACGGAAGATAAGGATGAGGCATCCAAGGATCTCTTCTATGAGCGCTTGGAGCGCACGTACGAGCGCTGCCCCCGTCATGATATCAAAATCGTGCTTGCCGACTTCAATGCCAGGGTGGGCAAGGAAGGGATCTTTGGAACCACCGTCGGAAAATTCAGCCTCCACGACGAAACGTCCGACAACGGATTGAGGCTGATCGACTTCGCCGGGGCCCGAAACATGGTAGCATGCAGTACTAGGTTCAAGCATAAAAAGATCCATCAAGCTACGTGGCTGTCTCCGGATCGAAAAACGAGAAACCAAATCGATCATGTGGTGATAGACGGAAGGCACGCTTCCAGTGTTTTAGACGTACGCACACTCCGAGGCCCAAACATCGACTCGGACCACTATCCTGTTGCAGCCAAGATACGCACCCACCTCTGTGCAGCAAAAAATGTGCGCCCAAATATGCAAGGAAAGCTTAACGTCGAAAAGCTGCAATCACAACAGACAGCCAGCGCTTTCGCTACTCGACTCTTACACCTGCTCTCAGAGAGCACTCTTCAACAAACCGACATATGCGAGCAGTGGAACCACATTTCCCGCTCATTAAGTACCGCCGCCGAAGAAGTAGTCGGATTTCAGCGAGCCCGAAAGAATAACTGGTACGATGAGGATTGTCAGGAAGCTGCAGAGAAAAAAGATGCCGCCTACAGGGCCACGCTGCGATCGGGCGCAACGCGCGCTATGTGGGACCGCTATAGGGATCCTAAGAGGGAAGCGAGACGTATTTGCCGCAACAAGAAGAGAGAGGCCGAAATACGTGAGTGCGAAGAGCTTGAAATGCTGGCCGACAGGAAAATTTTACCAGAGAGTTAGGCGAGGGCGCACTCCTGTAAGAACAATAATGACGACCTAGTAACTGATGTCCAGAGCGTACTTAAATAATGGAGGCAACACTTTTCCGCCCTACTAAATGGTAGCAGCACGGAAAGTTGTGGAGAAGAAGAACCCGAGCCCGCAGTCGATGATGACGGAGTCGACGTTCCACCGCCTGACTATGACGAGGTACGTATAGCAATAACGCGGCTGAAAAACAACAAAGCCGCTGGAGCTGACAGCCTGCCATCTGATGTTAGAGAAGATAATAAGAGCTACAGAACTGAACCGCTCAGGAACAATTTACTATAAGAGCGTGCAATTGCTGGCTTATGCCGATGACATCGACATCATCGCTAACAAAAACCGCGAAGTCTGTTCTGCCTTTTCCAAGTTGGAGAGGGAAGCAAAGCGAATGGGTCTGGTGGTAAACGAGGACAAGACGAAGTATCTCCTGTCATCAAACAAACAGTCAGCACATTCGCGCCTTGGCACCCACGTCACTGTTGACAGTTACAATTTCGAGAAAGTAGAGAATTTCGTTTACTTGGGAACTAGCATTAACACCGATAATAATGTCAGCATTGAAATCCAACGTGTAGAATCACTCTTGCCAACAAGTGCTACTTTGGACTGAGTAGGCAGTTCAGGAGTAAAGTCCTCTCTCGACGTACGAAAACCGCGCTCTATAAGTCACTCATCATGCCCGTGCTGGTATATGGCGCAGAAGCATGGACAATGACAACATCCGATGAGGCGGCTCTTGGAGTGTTTGAGAGACAGATTTTGCGGAAGATTTACGGGCCTTTACGCGTTGGCGACGGCGAGTACCGCAGACGATGGAACGATGAGCTGTATGAGCTTTACAACGATATGGACATAGTGCAGCGAATTAAAATACAGCGGCTCCGCTGGCTTGGTCATGTCGTTCGAATGGACACCGACGCTCCAGCTCTGAAAGTATTCAGCTCGGAACCCGCTGGTGGTAACAGAGGAAGAGGGAGGCCCCCCACTGTGATGGAAAGATCAGGTGGAGAAGGACTTGGCTTCACTTGGCGTTTCCAATTGGCGTCAGTTGGCACAGAGCAGAAACGACTGGCGCGCTTTGCTGAACTCGGCCAAAATCGCTTAGGCGGTTACAGCGCCAAAAAAGAAGAAGAAGAAGCAGTGCCAAGTGTCCAATTACCATTACCGCACTCAGAATTCGTTCCAGTACCAACATACCGAAGTATTGATCTTCAAACAGATATCAGTACTACAACCGCCGCTGCTATATCCATGCATTTCTTCTCAGAATACGACCATGGTGAAGGTACATCCTATGAAACATCAAAGGACCCAATCCTAGTAACACCAAAGCAATTGTTGTAATTTTTTGTTTGACTCAGAAAAAATCAGAACAACTGGCTTCATTTTTGAAAGGAAATAATTTGCTGGCGAAAGGTACCAAAGTAACAGTATATCGAAAACGCCAAAAAATAGTTAGAAAAGTTCTTCAATGTGAATGATGCAAAAAATTTCGCTTATTGCAACGATATCGAAAAGTTAATGGAGAAGATAGGGTTAACCTATAAAAAAGATGATTGGCGTTTATTCATTGATAGTTCACTAATCAGCTTAAAAGTTGTGCTTTTGCACAAGACGAATAGAATGCCTTCTGTTCCAATTGCGTATAGCACTGACACTAGTGAAAATTTCGATAATTTGAAACACATTCTCACCCCTATTGCGAATGTCGACTGGCAGTAGATAAACGACTATTAAGCGATTATCGATTAACGATGCTATTGCGAGTGTCGCTTAGTCGCTCAATTAGCGACTGTGAATACTTTTTAATCGCTCATCCTTCTATTGCT